TGGTTTGTAAGCTTTGTGTCCCTGTCCCCAACAAGGTAATGTGTCTGAGTGAATAACAGAGCTCCACAGTAATAATACTCCCAGTAATGTGTCTGTGTGTATAACAGAGCTCCACAGCAATAATACTCCCAGTAATGTGTCTGAGTGTATAACAGAGCTCCACAGCAATAATACTCCCAGTAATGTGTCTGAGGGTATAACAGAGCTCCACAGCAATAATACTCCCAGTAATGTGTCTGAGTGTATAACAGAGCCCCACAGCAATAATACTCCCAGTAATGTGTCTGAGTGTGCAACAGAGCTCCACAGTAATAATACTCCCAGTAATGTGTCTGAGTGTATAACAGAGCTCCACAGCAATAATACTCCCAGTAATGTGTCTGAGTGTATAACAGAGCTCCACAGCAATAATACTCCCAGCAATGTGTCTGAGTGCATAACAGAGCTCCACAGCAATAATACTCCCAGTAATGTGTCTGAGTGTATCACAGCGCCACAGCAATAATACTCCCAGTAATGTGTCTGAGTGTATAACAGAGCTCCACAGCAATACTACTCCCAGTAATGTGTCTGAGTGTATAACAGAGCTCCACAGCAATAATACTCCCAGTAATGTGTCTGAGTGTATAACAGAGCTCCACAGCAATAATACTCCCAGTAATGTGTCTGAGTGTATAACAGAGCTCCACAGCACAGCAGTAATAACAGTAATGTGTCTGAGAGTATAACAGAGCCCCACAGTAATAATACTCCCAGTAATGTGTCTGAGTGTATAACAGAGCTCCACAGCAATAATACTCCCAGTAATGTGTCTGAGAGTATAACAGAGCTCCACAGTAATAATACTCCCAGTAATGTGTCTGAGTGTATAACAGAGCTCCACAGCAATAATACTCCCAGTAATGTGTCTGAGTGTATAACAGAGCTCCACAGCAATAATACTCCCAGTAATGTGTCTGAGTGTATAACAGAGCTCCACAGCACTAATACTCCCAGTAATGAGTCTGAGTGTATAACAGAGCTCCACAGCAATAATACTCCCAGTAATGTGTCTGAGTGTATAACAGAGCTCCACAGCAATAATACTCCCAGTAATGTGTCTGAGTGAATAACAGAGCTCCACAGCAATAATACTCCTAGTAATGTGTCTGAGTGAATAACAGAGCTCCACAGCAATAATACTCCCAGTAATGTGTCTGAATGTATAACAGAGCTCCACAGCAATAATACTCCCAGTAATGTGTCTGAGTGTATAACAGAGCTCCACAGCTACAATATTCCCAGTAATGTCTCTGAGTGAATAACAGAGCTCCACAGCCACATCCGCCCTGGCCACACCCATATGAACACCCCTAAAATTACAGAGTCCCCCTTTGTCCATTTGAAATAAGGGAGGTATGCTGTAACAGTATAATATCTGATGCTAACTTATTATGCTAAAGCCTATATCTCCACTGTGCAGGCAGATACCGTCTCTGGTCATCACTTCAATTAATAACTAATTGATTCCATGAGGGATTCCACGGTCAGATAAATAGGGAGGGGGATCGGGAGATTCAGACAGCATCAGACATCTCAAGCCGGCTGGTTTCTTCGGGAGGTATGTTGGATTTGGCAAACTGTTCTCTCTGTTCAATCTTCTTCCATTAATAGAATGTATTACTTGTTCAGATGGGATGATTTCTTAATTGTGGCCTTTCAGCAGTTTAACAGATTACTCCCTAATCTGAGACCCTTATGTGGGATATTTAAGGATACCAAATTAGGGCGCTGTTTACAAGATAGCCTTCTTATTTGATATCTTTGAGAATGTCAATCCCAGTTAAGGACGGCAAATTAGGGAGTTATCTACTAAACAGCTTTCAGCAAATAACTCCCTAAATGGGTACTTTGTAACTTTGTGACAGACACCTTCACCTTCACCTTCATGCATCCTGGACGTAAAAACCCAAGGGCAGAGTACAGAATATTTGATAGAGTCCTAACCTCAATATCTGAGGAAAGGGATTTAGGGGTGATTATTTCTGATGTCTTAAAGGTAGGCAGACAATGTAATAGAGCAGCAGGAAATGCTAGCAGAATGCTTGGTTGTATAGGGAGAGGTATTAGCAGTAGAAAGAGGGAAGTGCTCATGCCATTGTACAGAACACTGGTGAGACCTCACTTGGAGTATTGTACACAGTACTGGAGACCGATCTTCAGAAGGATATTGATACCTTAGAGAGGGTTCAGAGAAGGGCTACTAAACTGGTTCATGGATTGCGGGATAAAACTTACCAGGAAAGGTTAAAGGATCTTAACATGTATAGCTTGGAGGAAAGACGAGACAGGGGGGATATGATAGAAACATTCAAATACATAAAGGGAATCAACACAGTAAAGGAGGAGACTATATTTAAAAGAAGAAAAACTACCACAACAAGAGGACATAGTCTTAAATTAGAGGGGCAAAGGTTTAAAAATAATATCAGGAAGTATTACTTTACTGAGAGGGTAGTGGATGCATGGAATAGCCTTCCAGCTATAATGGTAGAGGTTAACACAGTAAAGGAGTTTAAGTATGCGTGGGATAGGCATAAGGCTATCCTAACTATAAGATAAGGTCAGGGACTCATGAAATTACTTTGAAAATTCGGCAGACTAGATGGGCCGAATGGTTCTCATCTGCCGTCACATTTTATGTTTCTATGATCACCTCCGACAGCCACAGCATGATCCACAAGGGTAAGCTCGCTGCTGTCTGGAGTGGACAAATAGTCTGTTAGTGCCTTGCACTTGTCTTTGCAGCCTTAAACATAATGTGCATTTAGCCAGGGCAGCCATCCAGCCCAGGTTCCGGTACACAGGAGTCTCTGAGTCTGTAAAAAAACCCCACCCAAACAAGCGCCCTCCCAGTCATTCCATAACCGGGGTCTCTGCGGGTTTTCCCGCTGCCTGAGGATGATGGGAGTAGTTTGTAGAGTCTGTCGCGGCTCCGCTTCCTGTTAATCGCTGGGGTCGTGGCTGGCTTCTGGGGAGGAGAGCCGGCTTTGCTCTGCCCCGGGAGCTGCTCGGGATACTGGGGAGGGAGCAAGCAATACTCCATCCCCCCTGGCTCAATACCGCACCCCCACCCAACATTCAAGCATCTGAACCTCAGAATGCAAGTAGGTCTCTGTGATGGGAGCCTGGGATCTGGGACAGCAAGAACGCTGAGGTCAACTGGCCTAGGTCGTTCCCCAATAAAACATTGGTGGGGAGCCCATGTATCAATCCCACATCAATCAGACCTGACCCGGCACCCCAATTCAAGTGGACCCTTGCGGTGGGTAGCCAGTGTACTGTTCCCCCTGCTACCCGTACAGCTACTGAACCTCCGGTTCGGGAGCCATCTGGGACCAGATGTCGCTTGACCATGGTGAGGGTGGTACCGGAATCTCACAATCCTTGAACTGGTTTGCCGTTCAGCTGTACTGACTGGCTATGGTGTTGCCGGTTGGCAGTAGCAGCCTGCACTGGGTCAGCCTCGTGCAGGATACCCCATTGCTCTTCAGAGGCTTCGGATCTGGGGGTGCATAGGGTGGCTTCTGTGTGGTAATAATGAGCCTTACAACATGATGCCTCATCATCTCTCCCTCCAAATAGACACCACTCCATATAGCTCCCTAATCAGAGAATCTGAGCCAAAGTAACAGTTTGTTCGAGTTTTATTGGATCATGGCTTTTCTCTGATTTGGCAAGGTGTTCCAAGCAGGTGACAGTTTAGTCCCAGTCTTAAAAAAGCAGTTTGTGGAGCTGTGGGAAGCTGATGCCCTTGGTATTACCTCCCTGACATCCCCTCCAAATAGCTTCATGATTGGTGGTTTGGGACCGAGCGATACCCGATCAAAGATTCACTGGAACGCAGCACAATTCCGATTCCAATTTAAATCAAGGGAACAGTTCCAGACCATTTATGGGTATCTACCAGTTAGGTACTTAATATTCCAGGACAAGTTTGGGCACTATGCACTGTGTATAATTCAGCAGGTAGGTGGATGGTATGTCATGTTGCTGGTATTTAAGATAATCACTTTAAGTCCACTGTGGGCTAGCTTTAGATATGTAATGAACATTATTGTCATTGTTTTATGTTTACAGTTATAATGGCAGCCTGACATTACAGGCCCGATGGCCTGGGTAAAATAGAGCAAATTACAACAAAGCTCTATAAACATCATCCCTGGACACATCAGGCATAGAACCCAGGTCACCTGGTATCTCAGCATCCACAGCGCATATCCAAGACTGCCGGGGGTAAGTCTCATGGACATTTTATAAAACATTACAGACTGTGTGTGTGAAGCTTAGCAAGATAACAGCCGTGGTCATTGTGGCACAAACATGATGTCATTAAAACCTGCAGCAAAATATTCAACTGGATATTAGGATGGTAGGTAAAGAATTAAGAACTGGCTAAAAGATAGATCTTTGTGTTGGGTAATGCTAGAACCTGCTAACAGAACTGTCCACCGCTGTCAGAGGATCTCCAGAGCAGGACCGGATGTTGTTTTAGAAAAGCTAGACAAGAACTTTTAGAAAAGTCCATTTGGGTGTGCTGTTCCTAATGCCATCTTCAATACTAATGGTGTTTTATTTATATAAGGGAGTCAATGCTGTCTCATATAGTGCATAAATTCAATTTCTCAAGAAATACAAATAATTTTTTTTTAGTCTCTATGGCTTCGTTGTAGGATAACATGACTACATATCGAAACCCATCATGGAACCTTCCAGCCTAAACCAGACATTCTCCTACACAGAATTTATACTCTTTGCCTTTCCTG